CCAGGCAGCTTAAAATGCCTGGCAGGGGGTGTCAGCCCCCCGCAGGAGTGACAAGGGAGCCTGGGCAGCCACCTCCCTTTAGGAGCTGACAGATGAGACCTGGCTGCACATGCAGCAGGCAGAGGGGAGCCGAAGCTCGGCATGTGGCCGTGGGGCGCTTGTGTTTCTCTTGCTGCTTTTTAATTGCGAGGATTATCTTGCAGCCCAGCGTCAGAGCTGATTGACAAGGGCCCGGTGCGCGAAAGCCGGCGGCTTCACAAGCTGGGGCTGCGATGGCTGCGCCACGAGGAGCTGCGCCCTTCTGCTGGATCCAGGCCTGCAGCAGCCAGGGCGCTTGCATGGCTGCTGACAGGCAACATATTTCGGCAGCAGCTGCACTGCTTCTCCCTCAAGTCCTCCCCTCAGCCCTGCTTAAGCATTTACATCATAGCCCTGGAAAGGAGAGCGCAAATAGCTCCGTGATGCAGGCAGACGGGCTTCCCGCAGCGTGTGCTTCATCATTTTGTTCCATCAGGAGCTCTCCTTCGGCCGTCGTGAAAAGGAATGCGAGTTTTCTCTTTCTAGTGACAGATCCTTGCTCTAATCCCCTCTGACGTGCTTGCAAGCAAGAATACCTGCGTGCAGAGCTCCTTGTGGCACGTGGGGACAGAGCTGCACATGGAGGAGAAGCTGCTCTTGCCCATGCTCTGAGGCCGGGAAGGTGTTGGTGCTGAGGGATTTAGGGTTGACCTTAGGCTGCAGGTGGCCTGTGCAGGCGTGGAGCGGAGTCTGATTGCCCCAGCTCGAAAAACAGACCAAAGGTTCTCCTCGGCAGAGTGTTGCAACAGTGCTCTGACACATAATCATCACAAAAGGCTATTGTAAGGTGTTTCAGTGCCCTGCTGCAATGCGTCATTCCACCAGAAGCCTTTGAAAACGCCCCCACGTGCCAAGCGTGAGGGTCGAAGTGATTTCAGCAGCTGGAAAATGGTTGGGGAAGGACTGGGGGGGAAAAGGAGACCCGGCCGCGTGCCGCCCTTTTGATTCTCCCACTGAAAATTCGAGCTGCCAGTCGTAGGGACAGCGCTGGGAGCTTGGTTTGGACGGGGAGCAGACACACGGCCGGGGTGGGAAGTCTGGAGGCAGGCTGGAAGGAAGATGCCTGGCTCATTAGGGAAGTGTGTGGCGCAAAGATAACGCCTCGAGCCTCAGATGAAACCGGGCTCTGCCGTGTTGAGCCCAGAGCGTGCAGCCCGGCGGAGGTCAAACGTGTGATTATTTCGGGATAGCAGCGCCCGGGGAAGCTCCTCGGCGCTTACCTGCTGGCGTTCAGCGCCGCCGTTGATGGCTTCTCCAGACAAAGAGCTGCAAGAAGCCGCTGCGAGGAGCTGGACGCTTCCAGAATGGAAAAGCAGGCTGCCCCTAAAAAGCTTCCTAAAAGCGCTTACGAATGAAATGTGCTTTGGATAGCTCCAAGCTGCCCGGAGCGTGTCTGGAGGCGCTTCCTTTCAGGGCTGTTTTAATGTAAAAAAATGAAATAATAATAATAGCTATTCCAGAGCATCTGAGCAAGTACAAGGAGTTCTCAGCTGGGCAGCAGCGGGGCTCTGTCCCATCCAAGACAGCTCGAAGGGGCTGTGATCGCTGCTGCGTGTCTGAGAGCTGCTGGAGTTACTGCTTGCACCGCTGTTGCAAAATGCAATGCTGCCAGCGATTTATTGCAGCTTGCTGAAACCTCATTTCCAGAGAGCGAGTCATCATCGTGCTGCTTTTGCTCTCCGGGTGATCGAGGCTGCGCCTATCCCCTTCCCTTTGTGCCCTGCTGGCAGTGGGAGCACTAACGAGGGAGGAGCAGGCTGCAAACTCCACGAGGAGTTCATCAGCACCGTTTTCCTCGATGCCATCGAGGCAGGGAGCTCTTCTGTCTCGCTTTATGCCTGTCACTAGGTTTTTCTCCAAGTAAGGCTTTCACCCTGGAGCTCTTCAAGATAAGGAGCCGTGACAAGCAGTGCTGGAAGCGCCCTCACTCAGCGTTTGTTTGCACAGCGCTTGGGAGGCCTCTCGTGCTGGCCAAGGCCTCTGGATATTGTTGAAGTGGAAATATTAACTCTACAAAGTTGGAAAGCCTTGCTTTTTTTTTTTTTTTCCCTACAGAAAAGCTTTACATTAACATTCAAAGGGCTCTTTGTGGGGCTTTCTGTTCTTGTCCTTCAAAACGGGGTTCAGCAGCAGGGCTGGCGTGTTTGCAAAGAGGTTTTTCATCTGGCGCTGCAGCCTTCAACCATCTTCGCGCTTAGCTGGCACGAGTGGTTTGTATTTAAGAACAGCTTGCACTGAAAACACAGCAAAAAAAAATTAAAAAAAAAAAGGGGGAGGGTTGGAAGTCAGAGGGGAAGGAAACACACGGCTGCTGCCCAGTCTGAAGAATGTATTTTGGAACTGCAGAAAGTGAAGAGAGCTGCCAGATCAAAGCGTTTCTGCAGTTTCCTGGAGAAGTCATCAGAAATAAGTCCAGAAAGAGCTCGGGCTGTCGAGTGATGCTGACTGGGCTGCGCGGATTTCCAGTAACGAGGCAGAGAAACGAGGCAGAGAAATGTCTCGAGTAGCATGAATGGGAAGTCGCCCTAACCTGCTGAGGGAAGCTCTGCTGTGCTTCATCCTCTGGGCTGACAAATGGGCAGCTCTTCCAGCGTGCCCTTTGTGGATGTCTTTGGTCTTTTTTTAGTCTACCCCACAACCTCATTTATTCCTCAAAACCTTAAGCAAAAGGCAAAACAAGAAAAAGCTGTCGCTGCATAAGGCAAACAATAAAAAGACGTCGAAGAAGCCACACAGTGTAAACTGTTTGACAGAAGTGTTTGCTCTTTGATGAAGTGATTTAATTTAAGACGAGGTGTGTTTTTTTTCCCTGCTCTTTACCTCTCCCTTCCGAACCTGAAGCAGGACGAAGCTCTGAAGGGAACCAGCAGCCCCAAAACAAAATCCTGCGGACAAATTCTGCTGCCCTTGCTGCATCCGCGCAGGGCTGTGCCAGCGAGAGGCTCCTGGTGTTTGTTCAAGGAAGGAGGCAAACAATGACTGTTTCCTGAGCCTGGCTTCAGCCGTGAAACAAAGGAGCCCGCCCGCTCGCCTTTATCAAAATGTTATCTACTAAATCACCCAAACTTCCTCTAGGAAGATTATTGGGGCCTCATCTCCTTCCCTGCTATGTCGCCGGGCAGGTTTGGGGCTCAGGAGTTTCCAGCAAGAAACTGGTTTCCTAAATCCGTTTGCAGGCCAGCTTGAGAATATGACAAATTACACACGCTCAGTTTTTTTTGCAGTGTAGAAATATTCCATAACCTCGTTATGGACCACCAGCATGGCAGCCTTGATTCGAGCAGCCTGTGGAAAGATTTACTCTTGGCACGGCGGCGGTATCATCGCTTGCTGGTAAGCAGCCTGGAACATTCATTTCTCCGAGCAAACAGAGGGTACCAAAACAGAATTGTTTGTTCTTTCTGTACAGTCTCAATGCTCTTCGCCCCTCCCCTGCTTTTGGCCCGGAGAGGTTTGCTTTGCCAACGTGTTGCCGCAATGTTTTACATCTCGAAAATTATTTTCGGCTGTTCGCGCAATCTTCTTCACAGCCCCGAAGTTTTTCACTCCTGAAAGGCTGCAATTAACTCCTTCTGCTTGCTTGAGGCCTGGCGAGATAAGGGCCCAGCCTTTTTCCTTGTCTCTCTGCTCTTCCTGTCATAAAGAAGAAAATGATGCTGGGGACGATCTACCGAGAAGAATTTTTTTTTTAAGAAAGCCAGGAAATGACAGAGCCTGACTTCAGGCTTCGCTTGGGTGACACAGCAGGGATTTCTGTGGACATCCCTGCAACGGGGCTGTTGCAACAGCTGCGCTGTAAACACAGCAATTAACTCCATCAATTAACTTCATCCAGGCGCTGGCACCGGCGCAGCGTTTTATTCTGCTGTCTTCGGGAGCTAAACCATGACATTCCGGCCGCTCTGCGCTCCTGCCAATTCATCACGCAGTGGCTGGAGAAGGGATGCCAGGATGGGACTTTGATCCTAAATGTCTCTTCCCTGCTTCGTAGAAGATCTGCCACCCTCGATGTCTGTCCATGTGCCGCTGCAGACAGTTCCTGGCAGATCGCAGCTCCCTGCTTGGCCAAAGACCTGCCAAGGAAGGAGGTTCAGCAGGGGCTCCTTGCACCACAACAGGGTCCTATTAAAAAAAAAAAGGTAGTTGGGAAATGGCTGTGATATCAGTAAATGAGGGAATTCCTGCTCCCACACCACCAGAGGTGTTGGGAAGAAGCAGTTTCTGGTTTCTACTTTGCCCTTCTCTTGATTGAGTACTCGTAGTGGATGTTGGAGATGTTAACACCCGGCTGGTTGTCCCTGAAGGCTGGCTTTTGGAGGTGCTGTCAGGAGGATTCCCAAGAGACCCCGAGGAAATCCCATTCCGAGGACACCGAGGAGGCCGGGGTGCATCCCACACAATCAGCCCGATGATCCCTACCCCATGGGGAAATGAAATGCTGCAGAGAGAGGCAGCCCCGTGAGGCACGCTGCCTTCTCACGTGCAGGCCAAAAGAAAACACTGCTTTGGATGAAAATCCTATTTAATGTTTCTCTAATGGAAATGAGATGTGTTGGGTGGTAACTGGAAATCTGGAATAAAATCAGGCTCCTGCTTCCCAGCGAGAAAGCTCGCGCCTTCGACGGAGCTCAGTGGCTCTGCCTGGCTGCGCAGGGCCCAGCTTGCAGATTCTCTCCCTGCTTTTCTAGCTGCAGCCGAGGAAGGTTTAATCAAACTCATAAATTTTGGTCTGGGCAGCTCAGCAGGTTGGGATTAAGCAGCGAGGATTTTTCTTTCTCGTGAGAGAAAAACTCACTTTTAAACTCTAGCTTAAATTTCAAAGAAATGCACTGCTCCTTCCCAGATTTTTTTTTTTTCTCTCCCCGAGCGGTATGTACTCTTATAAAGCCCAAAGAATGTTCCCTTCTAGAGGATTCTTCTCCATCCAGTGTCCCAGTATGCGGCTCTTGGAAATGCCACCTTCCTTTCTGGAGCGCTCCCACAGACAAAGCAATGGCGTTAAAAGGTTTTGGCTGGTCCCGAGGTACCGAAAGCGGCGCGGTCTGAGGAATATTTTCCTCTGGGTTTGTGTAAATCGCAATTCCTGCATATGGCCTTTTGAAAAAGCTGATTTTTTATATATCTCAGGTATTTTATTCATCTATATATTTAGGTATTTATGGCATATTTAGTATTCTAACCACTCCGAATGTTCCAGCTACCTGATTTCCCACTGTGGCTGCTGCTCACGTAGCACTTTCGCCTCTCCCAGTGCCACTGCCTCGCACAACCCCTTGGCACGGGTAAAATCCTCCCTCAGCGGGTCCCGAGGGGCCATCGGCCTCCCCCAAAGCCGCGGGGATGTGTTTGTTGCTCCTGTTCCACACCACCTCAGGCAGCCCGACAGCTCTCACTCCCTGTGCAGATCCAAGTATGGCATTGTCTCCTTCAACCCATTAGGACCAGCAGCCCCATTCCTTCACCCCAAACAGGGAGGGAAGGGAGGAGGCTCTCCTTACACGTCATCATCGTGGTTCCAGGTGCCTGAGAGCAGTTTGGGGTCATCTCTAGAAACAAAATTGCTGCCTTCCCTGGGGCAGGAGCACAAAACCAGCTTGGGCATCCAGCACTAGGTTAGATGGCATCTCAGACAGTACAATATGATGTCATTTGTATTAAAAGGAGTATCCTAAGCAAAGGGCCAGCACGGAAACTCACTTTTGAGGGAAAAATGCTAAAAATCCCACCCGTGTAATGCCCATAACGTCCAACTGCCGCGTAAAACATTTGCCTCGTCACCAAAAGCCTCCTGTATTCTTTCCCATCCTTCTTGGAGTGAGCTGCACCTCCCAAAACATTTATCTTGGTGCTCTGCATTGGCTGGTGGAAGCGCAGAAGTATTTTCTGGGTGGTTGACTTAATGTTTTCCAAATACCAATCCGGAACACCGCACCCCGCACAAACCTTTTACAGACAAAATGCTTTTTTCTCTCCTGATACGGGAAAGCTGCTGACGTGAAGCGTTCCTAATACTCCGTGAGGTGAATTTTCAGCAATGCTGGTGTGTAAGTCCTCTGCAACTCGGAAGGATTTGCATTCCTATATCATTTCCAGGTTCTTGGAAAGCCTGGGGGATCTCAGGACAAAGCAGAAAGGTGCAGCAGGAGGGGAGGTGCCTTTTCCGTCTGATTTTTTGACAGCAGAGGGGAAATCTTCTCCCCATTTGGTGATGCAGCTGGCCGCCGTTTAAAAAAACCAAAAAAACCCTGTGGCCCATTTGGGACCACAAATTCTCCGTGCAGAAACCCAATGACAGACAAAAATGTTTCTCCCCACGAGGGCCAGAATAAGCTTTAAAAAATTGTTGCTGGAAACATACCTTAAGTCCACCAGACAGTGAAAGCTGGAACGTAACTTGTTTGCTTAACTCCGTGCGAGCACAATAAATGACTCGCACAAGGCAATTCGTTTACCATTGTTCAAAGAGCAAGGATTAGACAAACGGGCTATTGTATGCATTACTTGCTGGTGGTTTGGCTTTCTTGGAGCGAGAATGACTTAATGAAAGCCCACAACTCAATTCCTGCTCGTAATTTTATGGGAAACTACAAGGCTGCATTGTCCAAGGTGCAGTTTGTTGCTTCCTTTCATTTCAGCTTCATTAACCTTGGAGAATGAGGTCACGATACGATTATCTTTTTATTATTATTATTATTTTTTATCCTTCCTCTTGGTCAGATTTAAAATAATTGGCAGATTTGTGGTCGGAGAGAGAGATCCTTCCCAACCAGCCTGTAGGGCCCGGAGGGAGGGTTCTGCCTGCCTGTTGCCCAGTGCTGCTTACTGTAATAAATGGGATTTTCGGTCCACCACCTGCAGTTGTCCCAGGGACAACTGGCAACCCTTTGGTCTCTCCTTCCCAAATGCTGCTACATCTTTGTCTTCAAGACTTCTGGGCTAGGAGCTGAAGGCCTACGACACCGTCGAAGCTGTGCAGAACAGACGGAGGTTATCAATACAGCACCCTACGCATCATTTACCTTACTCCTTTTTTCTCCCCGCAGGTATCCTCTGAGACGAGGCAGCTCGTTCACCTTTCTGACTCCAGGACCCCACTGGGACTTCACCCTGGTGAGTAAACCCCTGGTGGTGCTCGTCTTCTTAATGCTCCTTCGTGAAGTCTGCCTTCTGAGGATTTGGAGGCGATTACTCAGCCGAAGGAGGTGCTGGGTGCATAAACGTTGGCCTGTCTTAAAGCTCATTTTCATGAGCGGCCTAAGCTGACCTGACCCCGCTGTCCTTGGAAGCGGCGATCCCGTCGTCAGCCAGCAAAACTGATCTGGCTGAAAAAGTCCCTTCACCGAAAGGAAAACAAAGAGTTTGGGATGAGCTGAGCCGGCTGACTGCACGAGCTGTGTGGGTGCCAGCCCCGGCACGAGGAAGGCCGTGAGAACGTCTGGGGGTGGGGAAGAGGACAGGAGTAGCTTTTAGGAAGGAAATCCCATCAAAAATCAGCTGGGGCTCCTTGTGAGGGTGTGCGTTGGGCCTTGAAGGGCAGCCACGTGCAGATTTGAGGCTGCACAAGCACCAGTCGGTGTGGGAGTAGATAAAACAAAACCAAAAGCTCCTGTAGATGTTTTTTGCCTGATTTTAGAAACTTTCATCTACAGGTGACTACAGCTACACTGAACTTACACATTCAAATATTACAAAGCCCTAGAAATTACATGATTTAACACTTGAAAACGTTGCGCTCTGTCATCAAAGCCATCTGTGTTTTGGCAGCAGCCCGCAGGCAAGCAAGAAGTGTGCCTTTCCTGGTGTTATTTCTCCCGCATGCATTGCACAAGAGGCTTTTTTCCCCGTGATAACCAACTCCTCGTGTGCCAGGCACAAACAGCAGCTCTTCGTGCTGTCATTTGTGCAGCTTTTCAGCCCAAAGCCTGCAAAATGTACCTGGCCTGAGTCTCAGGGATGGTCAGTAACGGGGCAAATATCCTTTTGGGTTGGTTAAAGGGAAGGATCCGTGCCTGTCCTGCACAGTCCTAAGAAAAGACGAGCACAATTTGGGTTCAAACATCCTCCGGATGGCTTCAGACTAGGAGCAAGGTTACTCCTGGTCGCTTTCCTCTCTCTTCCTTTCCGTTAAGGAGGATGTGTTTATGAGAAACAGGCACTTGACCAGTGTTGATTTAGCAGTCCCGATGCCGTTTTGGTGTTTTATGACTTCAGGTGAGCAATAAGCATCTAAAAAAAAAAAAAAAAAACTGACTCCTAACCAAAAAAAATTTCCTGCTTTCATGCAAAAGCCCTTAATATGCGTAAGGAAAACGAGCTGACGCTGACGGGAACTGCTTGCAAACTGCAAACCAAGCTCCTGGAGCTTTAATCGGAGCCCTTGCGATGTAATTAACGCTCACATTCGTGGCGTTGTTTAGGTCTCCTAAAGCAAGGCACAAAATATTTAGATTCCCCCTCCCGATGAGCAGTTTTGCTGCTTCTCCTTTACAGTACCTCGCTGAGAGCTTAAAACCAGGTCTCACGGTTTGTACATTTTAATAACTTTTCCTAGAAGTAACTTTTTCCACATGGCTGGGCTTTCGTGAGGAGGTGAACGTGGCGCGTTGCTGGCTGTGACCGCCTCAGAAATGCGAGCGAGCGGTACCGTAGCTCTTTCTTTCCTATCGTGTGGCTTCAAAAACCCAGGTCCGAGCAGCCCGACGAGGCAGTTTTCCTGGAATCTGTTTCTGTTCTGGCACCGTGCAGGAATGATACAGCTGGCTCCGGACTCAAAACGTCTACGTTTTTTGTGTGAAACTATCTTGGGCAAAGGAAATGGGGGCCAGCCAATGCAATACTTCTTGCATAAGTCTAGCCGGTTTAAAAACAAAACTTTGGCCTCCCTTTCGTGTCTGGGCTTCGGTCTGGAGCTTTATGGTAAAGCTGTTAATGTACTTTCCTGCATAAGGAACGAATCATATTCCGACCAGAAAGGCGTGGTGTCTTTGTCTTTATTGCAAGTTCCCTTCTGCTAAATAGATGCTAATATCCTCGCCTTACATATGGGAAAAATAATCCGCAGACCAAAAAGGTGTGGTTGTAGCAGGCTTTTATTGTCGGCTCTGGTAAATAACCAACTCTGAATGTTTTACTAAGCCTGAAAAACAAATGTCTGCGTTTGCATATGTTCTCGAGCCTGCCAAAGGTCTGTTCAAAAAGCATGGAGTGTGCTGGGCCATTAATACAGTGACAATGCTGCAAATTTGGTCAGCCATAATGCCTAACGTGAGTTTTTTTTCCTCGGTAGTTAGCAAAGGGACTCGGTGACATGCCAGGGGCACTGTCCTGTCTTCTTAGCTCCAAACCAGAAATGCTGCTTGAAGTCATCAGGGGACTTTGAAATCGAATCCAGCTCTTTTAGCTCGTTTGATCAGTTAGGAAAAAAAATCACAAAAACCCAAAATATAAGAAACTAGCGAGGGAGCTTCTGTATCTCATCATTACCTGTGTGTGTATTTAATTTAATTTAATAGTTAAATGGTGGAGTCAGCACGATGTGGACAGGTGAGAAGACTCCTCGGAGCCTAGAAACACTCGGTATGAAAGGACGAGCAAACAAGAGAACAGGTTTCTGAAGCCCTCCAGGGAGGCTGGACATCCCCTCGACAGCATCAGATTTTCAAAGGAACTGTGTAAAGTCGGCTGGCCGGCACTTAAAATAATTTGAATGCTTGTATTCAAACATTTTAAATACACTTAAAATGATGACAAAGCCCTATTAAAGCTGAAACTTTCAAGTTATAGGAATAGATTAATAAATTCTAAGAAAACAGGAATTGCTTCTGACGGAAAGTCAAGCTGCTGGGCTAGCAGAACACAAAAAAAATGTTTTTTTTTCAGTTTTCAGAACAGACTTGTGTTAGTTCCCTCTGCAGCTGCAGAGAGGTGGGTCTTCCCATTTCGGTTCAATGTCTAGTCTGTTAAACAAGTGAACAGCGTGTAGGCCAATATAAAACCACAGAATAGTTTGTTTTCTTTTTTCTCTGTTCGTAATGAAGTGGAAGAAGACGGACTCTGCCCATTCCCTAGTTCTGAACAACAAGCGTCAGGCACAGGCTGAAAACCGAGTGCTTGTTTCATGGGTGACCAATTTATGCTCGTGACCCATGTTTTTTTCCAGGCTGGTACTGGCTAACAGGATGAGTCCGCACTTGGTTTTCCATTATCTGGGTGATGCAAAAATAACGAAGCCCAGATAGCACAGAAATAGCTGGAGGTATCAGGAAGCTCTGTGCAAATCATTGTTCCACTGACTTTTGCTCTTCTTCGGAAAGGAAAATAGCTGAGGGCTGCCCTGCCTAAAGCCTCATCTTTCCTCCACAAACCCTCGTCCTCTTTGAGCCTGTTGCCTTCCGAGCAGGGCTGCCTCAGCCACAGCTGCCTGCTGTGGCCATGTCCACAGCAGGTGATTCAATAAGTGCCCAAAGTGCCCTCACATAGCTGCACACAGCTGTATAACCCGGTGAAAAAATGCTTTCTGCTGGCACTGTCTCCAGGGGAAATCTGTGGACCCTTCACTCACAAATGCTAGCCAGGCTGGGGATCAAACATGGTGAGAATTAAATGTGGGATCTGCTGGTGTCCCCCTAGAGGCATCAAGTCCTACTGATCACCGTGTCTGACCCCCTCAGTACCTAACTCCTTCCAAAAACCCAGCTTCAGTGCTGGATTGCTGACCTGAGAAACCATAATGGGCTAAAGGAACCTGGGATCATTTCACAGTGGTTGACTGCCACATTCTGCCTTCTTATTGAGGTTTCCTCCTTAAGACTTTACTCGTGGTCACAATTACAGGAGTGCAGAGCAACAAACGCAGTACATAGGTACATGTATGATCACACAACGAACCTCACAAAACAGCATAAATATCCTTTGTGTTTATGGTCAACCTTCAGATTTTTTGAGCTATTTGCTGGAATAAAGTTCAAAAAATGTCTCTAGACCACGTTATAAAAACCAGAGCTTTCTTTCGGGTTGCAAATCAAGTAACCAAAAGCTTGGTTTCATTTCCTACAGAAAAGGAAGCGCCGAGAGAAGGACGATGACGTGGTCAGTCTCTGCAGCCTGGATTTCAAGGTAACGAAAACATTTTGCTCAACGGGATTGTGCAAGCGTCCCCCCGGTGAGCTGCGGTGGCTTACCCAGGGGAACGGCGCACTTTGGGGTGTTTGCATTTCCCCATCAGCAGCGCAGCGCCGGGCACAGCTGTGTTTGCTCTCGGATACACCTCTGGGGTGGGCTGAGTCTTGTTAGGGATATCCATCACGCTGCTGGCGAGCCCCTGTTTTAATCATCTGAATCCTAAACGTGCCACAGTTGTGGTGTTGTGTGAAATGAATGCATGTAACCTGCACTGAGCAAAAAAAAGGAGATGTTTTCAAGCCATAGGGAGCAAAACCATGCAAAGCCCCCTTCAAATGCGCTTCATTGTCTTGCAAACAAGCTGGACAGGCTGGGTGGTAAATCATTCTTAAGGCTGTGGATTAAAGGGACTTAAAAAATTGAGGGTGGGGACTTGCAGAGCTGTATCTTGGGACGAGATACCAGCTAGGTTTTCTGAACAGGAATCTGCTTCCCGCACTCCAGCTGCCTCGAAGATCTCGCCGTCCGACACTTCTCTGGAGAGGGGAAGGAGATAAATTGTTTGGGGTTTTATTCCCCTGGGAAGTAGCTATTGAGTTGAGAGTTAACAAGTGGGTTTTACAGTTTATTAGGCCGGGTTTTAAAGTCATTTGCTAGTGAGGAATTTCCTGTTTGACCTCAGGAGCAGCGCATCCTCTGTTTGTTGCCACTCGCTCCGCGTTGAAGCCTCGCTTAGCCTGGCTACTGCTGGACTCTTGCCATCGCTGCTTGTCCCGTCCAGCAGGCTAACTCCGGGCTTTGACCTCTCTAATCTAGATCTCCTGCTCCAGATAAGGCCATCCCTGCCATTTCCTAGCAGGGGAGGGAGAAGAGCAGAAAGGATCCTCTGCCGAGGGCTGTGTGACACAGCAGTGCCGATGCCTCTGACTGTGTTGTGGGGCTCCTTTGGTTTCTGAGGTCTTTCTGGTTTTCTGATGCAGATGGGGGCGTTGTGGCTAGGAAAGCTGCCCTCAGGGAAGAGGATTTTCTTTCCTTTTTCTCTTCTTTTTTAATTGGGCTAAGTTGGGTGTCGAACAGGATTGCATGGACTAGGGTTTCTCCCATGAAGCCATCGCTTCTAAGGCAAAACTGAAATATCGACAGCAACGTGCTCACCCGCTTTTGAAGAGTTTTAACTGGAATCTTCCAAGGAAAAAGGGAAATCCCTAGGCAATACAGTCAAAGTTCAGACTGCAGCTTTTGTTTAAGCTGACTTTTTACCTTGTTCTTTTGAAAGGGTCAGGCTCTCTGGGATATTTGAGAGCGAGGCACGCCCACCAAACATATTCTAGTAGCCTTGTTGAAAGACATCAACAGCACTGACTGGGTTGTAATTTGCAGGCTTTTTGATAACAACCCTCAAGGTTATTAAAAAAAAATTAAAAACAATGCAATCAGCTATTTATAGTCACATTTTCAAAACATTTCACCAGCACTTCAGAGTCTCATCACGCACTTAGGCTGCAGAGATTATATTTTGCTCCGTCTAGATTGGATGAGGGTGAATCAGCAGGCTAAAATTGAGCCCCATTAGACATGGACGTATCTGTTTCATTAACAAAATAAGGTCTCGGGGGAATTTGAAGATAATTTAAGAATGTTATGTATAGGTTAGGTCATACGTTGTTTATCCCCGTCTTACCGAGGGGAACTGGTTTTCAGAGTTTGTCAGTATGAAGTGTCAAACTCCACCACGTAGCTCTTACTTCAGCTCCTCTATCTCCCCCAGCAAATAGAGCCCAGCTGCCAAGCTGCTGTTTTGTCACCACGCGTGTAGTAGCAGGGGAGTTTTGCCAGCGTGCCGCCTTCACACTCCTCTCAGACATGCTTGTGCTGAGAAAACCATGATGTTTAAACCTCACACAGTCTAGCTCATCGTTCCACATGCCAGGAAGATGATATGCAAAGTGGCAGGGGAGATCGGGCAGCGCAGATGGCCCGCAGTGCCCAGGCCGTGCCGGTTTGTTTGGGTTTGTTAACCTCCTCCTTGCCCACCACTCAGAAATGAACCACGTCTCTTAGGCCTGTTAAGCTTCTTCCGTGACATACAGCCTGAAAACCCCTCCAAACGTTGTCAAAATACGAGTGGAAAGTTATAACCTGAGACCACGATTACAGCATCCACTTCCTTCAGCACTGAGCCACCCCTTCTCATGTGCCAAAACATTCCCCATCTCTTTTTGGGGAAAAAAATGAGGTATTTTCTCCCCAGATCACTTCTGGAGCCACACTACAACGTGGGCTACTGATAATTGTCTGGGTAAGAAAGAACGGAAAGTGAATTGCGGTGCAGGGGCAGAAACAAGAACTTGAAGACAGGAATTTGTTAGGCAGATCTTGATGCTTCGAGACTGAGAGTTACTTTTGCATTTCAGGTAGGTTTATGAGCTGCTTTCTGTTAATTGATCACGTCCAGGCTGATTGCACGTTACCCGCAGTTATGTAAGGCGTTCAATGATTCACGGGAGGAAGCAGTCCTGTGTTTTTTGAAGGCGTGTGTCTCTTGGTGTTTGCTAGCAACTGGATAAATACTTTTCAGAACATGACAGGGAAGACACGGATGTGATAGTGGATTTTACCAGAGGCGAAACGAAGCCAAGCTGAGTAATGTGTGAGAATCACGTCTTGTCTGGACGATGTTTTCTGCTGGTTATGGGTTGTCTGTGTAAGGCTGTAGGAAGAGGGATTCCGCAGAGGAAGTGAAGTCTTAGTGAAGACCCTTTTATGAACCTCCGTGCTGTGTCCTCTCCAAGCCTTACTCACCTTCGGGGCCCAGCTCTGTGAATATTACTCAGCCTGGCTGCGAGAGGAGTCCAGCCCCAACAAGCCCCGGAGTTGTGCTCGTGTTGGCAGCAGAGAGAGGCTGTGACGCTAAAGCTGACAGCGACAATCTTTCCAGGGAAAGCAGATAAAACCCGAATATTTTTACGGTAGGGAATGACTTGGAAGCAAAGAGGAAGGGGGAGAGAGAATCCCCGTGTGTCTGCATTCTTGCTGGTCCAGATCACTCAGAACCATCAGCAAATGTCTTTCCGTGGTCAGAGTCCACAGAAGCAGCTTGGCTCGAGGCAGGGATAACACAGCATAAAAAACACGACTAAATAATGCAAGAAACTGCAGCCCTAAGCTCTGCCTTTAGAACAGATCTCCACAAGCTTGAAAGGAACAACCCAAACAGTCCCGCCCTCCTCCCTTCCCCCTCCCAAAGGCAGAACTGTTCCAGAGGACTTTTATGGCAGTTTTATTGGCGGCTCCTGATTCATGCGAGAACGTGCCCGTGCAGAAGGCACAAATTTGTATTTGGAAAGGAACTTGGATCAAAAGGAGCATCGGCTGCACCGTGCAACCCCAAAAACAGCAGTTGGCACGTGAGAAGGTTGGGGGGTGAAGTCAACTGGAGCCTCTCTCTTGTTAGGGCAGATGTTGTGTGTAATAAAACCACGGTACTACTCGGATGGTTCCTGGGTTTGGGTGTTGTGTTCATATTAGTAAGATGGAAATCACTTTCCTGGCTTAAGCGCCCAAATTTTCAGTTCAAGGATGCTTGAGGTGCCTCTCCAGAGCTCTGCAAAACATTGGAGGCTCTTTTTCAGCAAAAAAAACGCATCTACACAGCGGGTTTTTACACTGTTGTTGTTTTTTCCACTGGTAACTGCATGATGGAGTTGAATGGCAGCTAATTATAGCGAGCTCCCACCATCCAAAATAAATGCTGGATGCCAGACCGGCTCGTAAACTTTGCAGATGCCCCAATAGTCTCTCGATGGGTCATCGCCTACTTTTGCTCATTTTCCAGAAGACCGCTCCGAATTTGGCTCCGAATATAAATATCTGGGAGTGGAATGTTAAACACAGCTCGGGGACAGTAAACAACGTTGTGTACAGCGGCGGGGGGCTACGTGAAAATGGATGGGAGATGGGGAAATCGCCCATATTCCAGTCCTCGAGCACGTTATGCTGTATATAACATTTTTGGAATAGCTGTAAAGTGAGTTTTCAGCCGGATTTCAGTTCCTAGTAAGCAGGATTTCAGAACGTAGACGCGCGACAATGAAAACGAAGAGGCTATGGCTGGAATGGATGCTTTTCGTTTGGGCCCAGACTTTGAGCCGCCAAAGGGATTAAAATGTCGCAGGTTCTTTCTTTGAAGAAATTGAATCCAGATGTCAGTCACGTCGGAGGCATCCGGGACCTGTGAAAACTGGGAAAAGCGCCCACTGAGGAATAACCCCCTGCCTCCAGGCTGCCATGGTGCACCAGCTCGGGGGCTTTTCCTTCGCAGCCGGTGGCAGGAGCGAGATCTTTTGTCTCTGGCTCCCCTCTGCAGCAGCAAACATCCTTCCTGCAGGGTTAGCTCTAAACTAAAGTGACCCCAAGTGCCCTGGCTGACGGCTGGGGCTGTGTAACCTAAAATGTGAGGACATGGAGGGTGCTGGAAGGACTCTTCCACTGAACCTAGGCTGAAAATCACATTCCAGGCCTGCAAGGGTTTTATATTAACTGTGTCTGCCCATCGTTCTCGCACATGATTTGCTTGAGTATTGCCAAAAGAGCCAGGATAGCAGGTTGTGAGTGCACGCCACGCTTGGCAACCCCTGGCACTAGCCAGATGCCACGTGTTGTTTAAGCAAGTGGAATATTTTTAACTGCGAAAACTTACCGCAGTCTGGAATCGCAGACCGGAATTCGGATTCATGTTTTCTTAGGAATTCCTCATTTGTTAATCTCAAATGTATTTGCTTTATGATGCTTTGGGGCTGAACTAACAAAATGGCCTGTCAGTACCACCAAGAAAACTTCTGTTTAGCAGCAGTCCTACCCGGAATAACACGCAGGAGCGAAAAATGACGCAGGTATGAGGCTGCCCAGGACGTTGGGTGAGCAGCTCGGCGTAACAGCCCGCCCTTCTCCATGGAAATGAAAACCCAAACCAAAAGCAAGCATCGAACAATGAA